GTAACCTTCCTGCAAAGTTTTTCTCATTTGTCTCAAAGAAAATGAAGGTTGAGTGAGCCGACCAGCAAATGATTTTGAGGTCTTTCGACCACTAACTTCGTCTGTGATACCTATCCTTTTGAAGGATATGCCATAAAGATATGCTTAAACATGCAGATCTCGGGTCAATCGACTAACCCAACTGTGCTGATTCAGCTGTTCTGACCTGAACTAGTTGATGCGGATACATTTTTGTCTTCTTCAAGAGATTCCGAAAGCACCTTGCTTTCGAATTCGTTCAGACCAATGCCACTTCCGTTATTTTAATATTTACTCTCGGTTATTATAATTTAATGAATTAATCTTAATTAGTATAATGGTGAAAGAATTTTTGTCCTGAATTTGTTTCATTTTTAGGTTATTTGAATGAAGCTGGCTTCAAATTTATTTCTGAATGTTTCGCGTACATTGAAAAACGATGTAAGATGTTTTTCCATATCAGGACTTTATATGGCTTTATCAGCGTATAATATTAGCTAGTAACCTATGTACTGTTTATAACAAATAAATATGGATGACAGATTCGATATCGATTTTGTTTTCGCAGTAGTCACGTGTTTATCCTTTCTTTCAGTAACATTAGAGCCAAAACTGATAAATGTTTCACGTGCTTAAGCGAATCGACCGCTCAGATTAGTCAGGTTGATCTGTCCTTCACGAATAGGATGCTACAACAAACCTGGAAAGAAGGATTTGTCGGGGGTAGAGACATCCCTGATGACGCATGGAACGGACAGCGGCAGGTCTGTTGAAATAGTGTTTGCTTTTAGATATGAGTAAATGTGCAAATCACTACAATTTTTGCGCCTTGTATGACCAAAATCGTGAAATCATGTGCTTATGAACGGATGATGACAGCTAATTGGTCAGTGAGACACGAAGAAATTAAGGCATCAATTTCACCCATTTTTTTAGATCTTAGATTTAGCAACGTTATATTTAGTACTGTTTAATTAGTTAATTTTTTCGGTTTGCACTTGTGTTGTCACAGTGGATGACCGGTCAGTTATCATGTGGATTAAAGCGAAGTGTAGCCACAAAGGACAGTTGCATCAGACAGCATCACCATACATCTGATATGACCAGACCAGGTACAACGTTGTCCCTGTTGTTCGCAAGTCAGCAACTTGCTAGCCGTGCGGCGACTGGTTGCACCCAGGCAGCGTAGGATAAATTTGTTGCTCAAAGGAATTCACGCTATAACGATGGTAGTTCCTTCTCTGAACCAGGCACCTCTGCAGTTCGAAGTCGACCATCTACACTATGCCACCTCGCCTCGATTTTATGACTTAAACGACAGTAGTTCAAGTAATTAATGATAATACGATCGGTTGGAGTTAATACGTGGTAAATAAAGAAACATGAGAAGTCACGATTGGCCTACAGTGCCATTGAATCTGCGATTAGAGCTTCTTTAGAGCAGTTATACAAATTACATATATTGATAATTGCAGTATTTAATGGTCGACCTGTCGCACAAGTCAGCAGCTGCGTTTTTACGTCTGAGCTTGCAGCTTCTAACAGTTGTCCGTTGTATGAATCAGGTACAAGCATTGCTGTGTATAATACTGCTACGTATAGTACTGTGCAAGAAAAATGCTACAGAACATTGGAAATATTGCAAATGGCATGATTCACTAAACCATGTTAAATGACATTGTCTGATCAATTTTCTGTATGTAAGAGTCAGTAAACAAGTGATTTAGTTTTTCATCATTATCTTCATGATTTAGTTTTAAAAGATGTAACATTAATGATGGTTTAGCGCTTGGCGAACAAGGTTTGTACAGAAACTGTGGCATTAACTCGAAGGTGAATAAATTGCTGCAGAACGCGTTGAGCGGTCACCACGCAGGACAGCTCGACTTGGACAAGGAAAACGATTTGGAGCTGAAGACGGTGACCAGTGCGGTGAAGACATTCTTTCGGCATGTCTTCCGGTTGTGATGCTTTGTTGAACATTCATGACGCTTTTCAGGAGTCTCCCAGAACCGTTAATGACGTGTAAATACTACAGTCAGTTTTTAAACGCGGTCAAGCTGGAGGACCAACCTAGTCGCATCAAGCACATTCACTGCTGCGTGCACCAGCTGCCGGAGCCGAACTTCCGGATGCTCAAGATGTTAATGAAGCACCTGCAGCTGTAAGACGACATGAAATCGTTTCGATTGGAAGCGAGTGTAATTAGAAGTTGTTTTTCAGGGTGTCAAGGAATTCGAATAAAAACCTGATGACCGTCTGCAATTTGGGCGTCTGCTTCGGTCCTTGCATTATGCGCCCAAAAGAGGAAACGATCGCGGCCATCATGGACATCAAGTTCTGCAACATTGTCGTAGAAATAATGATCGAACACTTCGACGTGGTCAGTTTTGCTTCAAAATTACATTATTGTGAAAAAATTCTAAGAAGACTTTAAATGCTGTATTCATTTCATGGAACTTTCATCTTGGACTGCTTTCTCGATACAGAAAATTAATAATTTTGATTTAGTCTATGATTTTTACTTGAGCTTTAATTTGAATGTCGATTCCAAATATAACATTTATATCGTTCGCCCTCCACTGGATTTAGGAGTAATTTGAATGATGCACTGACTGAGACTACTGGTCTGACGATCGATTTTCACGGAGCTGGAATTTATTAACAGCTTTTTCTGTTATGTTTCAGCCGTTGTTTCCAAACAAGATGTAGATCACTACTGATGCTAGTAAATTGTTTCAGGAAATTTATATACCGACTTAATTTGATCAACAACAAGTCTCTCACTCTCACAGATTTAGTATATAAAGGCAATATATCTTTCCTCCATTTAATAGTTATGCGTCATTCTATGGAGATAACATAAATACCTACATTCACCTCTGTTACAATGTTCGTTCACAGTATTTATTATTTTATGATCAACGTCTCGATAGTTATGAAGCTTAGAAATGGTAGGTCCTCGAAAATGAGTTCTCTCGCAAGCAGTTGTCTGTTGAGATATGCCAGAAATTAGATACAGTGTAAGAGATATATCTGCTCATTATACAGATTCAAACGTTCTGATTGAATCTTCATAAGCCTAAGAAACGGTTACTGCGTTCCAAGCGAGAAATTTATTTCGAATGCTAAATAATATGTATTAACTTGTGGTTGATGACTCCTTTTCGTTTCAAGTTAGAAGATAATGGTTTAGATATTCTGCACACAGCCAAGAGGATCAGTTGTAACGCCACCTCCGAAGCCACAAAGAACTTCTGCATCGGACAACGCTTGTCCATCAACCAGGCACGTCTTGGCCTTTACTATATTCGTAATATTTTTCTTTGTTCGATTATGTGACTGTGTGATTTGTAGCAGCGCTTCGTTTGGATTTCCGTCGTTCGGCAGTTTGTACTGCGGTGGTTCCTACGGACTAAAGTCGTATAGTTCGACGCTATCTCGTTCAAACAGTACGCGTCGCTTTTTTGTTGACTGTTATTTTTTGCTGATTCATGGCGTTTTGTATAGACGACTTGCTGTGCGCGGGTACCAACAGCAGCAGTTCGTTGAACTCGATCGACAGTCTAAGTCATTCTAGCTCTCCTTCGCCAAAGCTTCCGCATAATATAACTAGTAAGTGTTTGAATTCGGGCAGAATCCGTTCGAATATGAAGTGTTTTTCAGCTTCATAATCGGCATTTTGACATATTTGCAACCATAGATACTGCATGACCAGGTTTCACAACGTATTGATCCTCCTTTCTGGGGGGTTTTGAAGTATGCCTTAGCTCCACTGGTATTTCAGTGCCAAATGTATCTTGCAGTATCGTTTTATAAGCTGAAGTGGCTCCCTGGGCAATTAGCAGCAAAGGAATGGTGCATTTGAATGAAATCTGGCCAAGAGTTTTTCATTAGTTATATGACGTACTCGGGTGTATGAACAAATTATGATGTTTATGCAACTGCTGACTAATTATGAAATAACGTTTACTTATTGCGACCGTTGTTAGCTCTGTCGGTAGGTCGTGGGACTCAGAATCGAGAGGTTTCGAGTTGAAGCCCTGGTCAGATCACTCGCATTTATTTCTTCTGAGGTTGATAAATGAACACCACCCTGTTGAAGAAAACATGAGACTACTCACTGTGGTGCTGGTCACATCTGCCGTCGAATCTATCTTTAAAGTAAGGCACTTTTGGCTTATGGCATGAAAATGTAGGTCAGCGCCCCGCCATTAACTTCACGAAAAGAAGAGCGCCAGAAATGGCACTATCAAGAAAGTGTAGGGTAGATCGACAGATCGACAAGGTTGCAAGCTTTTCTTTTCCTTTTTTTACCCCTTATTAAGGTATGAGTTTGAAGCTAAAAAGCCGTCAGCTAGAATTTATCACAAAAAATTCTGAAAATTGAATTGAAATTCTGAAAATTGAAAATTCTGCCGCAAGATCAAGCCTCACTGTTAATTAAAAGGGTTGATTAGGACAGAAGTACGTAGTCCTTAATGGGTGTTAAATTAAATAGGTATGTATGTCATATATATTAAATAGATAAATATGCAATTTTATATCACGAAGGTGAAGGTGATCAAGATTTTTCCTGTTTTTTAATGATAAAACGTGATTTCGATTTTTCGCCTTTCTTCTTCTCGAGTTTTTCTTTGCTCTCTTATAGGGATGATTGTACGTTTATACATTTTTTGGGAATTATTACTTACGGTATCCCTACTCGCTGCTCTTCCTAGGTTTTCAGTCAGTGACCTTCTGCGTAGAGCTGTTTCAGATTCTGTAAGGATCACTGTCAGATCCGGGAATTAGTATCTCGTTAGCTGACCATTGCACTGTTCGTGAATGTTGTCCATTTCTGACTTGTGACCCTTTACTTCGTTGGTTGTTCACCCACTTTCGATTATTATCTCGTCTAGGTTATTTTCCGTGAGAGTTACTACTGAATAGCCTTTCAGACGTTTGCAAATATGATCATTCAACCAAGCATAGAGCTAACTCTACGGGGATTTTTTTGTAATAAACAATATTGCTTGTTGGAGGTAACTTGTAGCCATTAAAATCTTATTTTAACGCAATAGTCTGCACTTTGATTTCACTGATTGTTTGATTTTCAGGTCGCAGTTTGGTTAACTACCCGCAACCGTATCCTGGTGATCTGTAAGTGCCTTCTTATCTCGCTTAAGCGTTCGGTTTGCTTTCGTGACGTCTCTGACTTCGTTTACGTTTCGTTTGCATTCGCTGTGCTTGGTTCTGCTCAGCTTTATGTGTACCGTACACTATTTTCGTAGTGTTTTTTGTTCGCATACGTCAGTGAAATGCGTGTGCGACGGTATGCGTAGAATCTGCCTCATTGTACTACGTACATAGGTAGTTACTACGTGTTTTGTCGTCCTTGCGTCAGTGCATGTCCTGGTCATTTATGTTTATTAGTCAGTTCAGTTTTGTGTAATTGTGACGGTAGCCGCTGCTTGACGCTGCTTTCGTGCGGTCACCGCATTTAGTCGCCGCATAGAGGTATTTTGCGTTGACCACGTTTCCTTTGTATATTTATGCATCTTACAGTAAGATCTTGAAACTAGGAGAGTCGTGTTTTCAGCCTATCACAGATTCAGATCGAGCCTTCAATGGTGTCGCGGTTGAATCCGTCCTTGTCTATTCAGCCGAGGTAAGAACCGTGTTTTCTGTACAGATTTCAGTGTTTTCTTCATTAGATTGGTTGCCTGCGGTTGTTAACAGTTATGACCTTTTTGGTTTGTGCATGAAATTAATACGTCGCTTTTGTCATTCGTGTTTGTTATTGTTTCTTCTGAAACTTTGTTGTCAAACCATCTTCTTCCGTTTCCTGTGTATTCATATGCCTACATGTCAATTGACGATCTGCCTGTGCGTTGAATATTAGTGTCTGTTTTAGTCGCCGGGTTCGCACGTTGTTCGAGTGTGTTGGCGATGATCCAAGTGAGCTTAGTTTCCTTCCTGGCCAAATCATCACGAACGGTACTCCAAACATAATGTTTCGCTCTTTATCATTTTTTTCCTTTGTTTTTTCTTTTAGTGTACCCGTCGAAAGAACCGCACTGGCTATATGGTACGCTAAACGGCAAAGTTGGTCTGGTTCCTGAAAGTTTCGTAGAGGCACTTCCGTAGCATATGCCGACGGCGGGGTCGGCGATGTTCATTATTCAGCAGCGATTTTGACGAAGCGCGTCTGCCCATGTTTGGTCCTCGTCGTCGACGGCTGTGTCTTATTGACATCGTGGCAGTGAATGGATCGCAGGCCTCAAACCATTTTGAAAGACTTGTTTTGTTTATCAAGGGATCGTACATTGTATTTAATGTGCTTCATCGGCGTTGGTTAAGGCATGTCTGATAGATAGATTACAGTTTAATGGTGACATATAAGTAAAGTTAATATGGTACCGTGAAACCACTTTCAGTGTTTCAGAGGGTCAGAAAATTAATCTTTAATTTTAGATTACACCTTGTGCTAATTGTTGTTAGCTGTCAGATGGGTAAAGGCGAATCGCAGCTGGGAAGCACACGCATCAGTGTGACCTGTGCCTCCCACGCTTTGGCACTGCCGCCGCAAAACACCACTTCGTGCTTTTTATTGGCAAATCAGCGACCTGCTACCTGTTTATTAGCAGATTGCACTGAAGCACAGTGCGGTGGGCTTGTTGCCTTTAGCAGTTGGCATTGGAAAATATTCACCGCGCGTGAGTTTTGAACCCTGCCCCTGTAGAGTACGAAGCGGACTGCTAACCCATTGCGTCAGTGTCACCCTGATATGCACAATCAGTAATATTCCAGAGAAATTTTGTTTCACTAATCTGTTTTATATTTTAAAACTATGAGGTATACTATTATATTCGAATAAATCGATTTATGTCAACTGACGTTGGCGCTAGGTCGAAAATTGTTTCGCTGCCTATTTACAACATTTAACGTAAGGCAGTTTTGCATCCTTTCAACGTTTTTATTCTTCTTGACAAAGCGCTGTGTTGGTTATACAGGAGTGCATTCACAGCGATGAATTATTTTACGATGTTGCTATATTTTAAACATGTCATGGAGGACTCAGCTCTGAGGCAGTTTTTCTTCATGTGCAGGGGTCGATTTCACCAATCAGGAGAATCCCCTCTTTATTCCACGCTGGTGAGCCAGGGGCTGAAGCTCTGGTGCAGTAGTTTGAATTCATATTTCTTCTCCATGGTTTATATTTTATATTCTGACTCTTTGAAGCAAGACAACGGTAGAGTTGGCCCCCTTGCTCCAGCGTGAGCAATTGTGTTTGTGAATTAGAGGTCGCCATTGACTTATACGGAAGTTAGCTCATTTGCAGATCCATTGAACACTGACGGCAGCTTCTGAACGACTTTGTGGTTATGACCGCCAGCCATCAATCAGGATTTTATGATAACCCGCCAGTCACTGTTTTAGGGTTCATTGCTATCATAGCCACTAAAGGGAAAGAGGCCCCGTCGTACTTTACCCTGCTGAACAATTCTTTTTATCGTTGTCTGTTTCCTGCTTCGAGGACGAGGGATTGCTTTTGGTACGCGTTGGTGACGTCCTGAACAGGCTTAAAGTGCGATAGTAAAGATCCGGCGACGAACGTATGGAATTGTTTCATTTATCTAGGATACACATTAAAGAAAAATTAGAAGTGTGCCGCGCAGGATTAGGTTCCTGTTCTTGAGGTGAGATCGTTGACGCATACTTGGGATATTGATTAAAAATGTTGCTGCTCTCTTTATAAACCGTCTGAAGGTCAGCGTCATTCTATATCAGTGTTATCAAATTAACGCTACTCGCAGTTTTGGGACATCCGTCATTTATATATGATGACTGATGCGCACATTCAAACCTGTGTTTTATGAGATCATTTAGTAATTTAGCCATACCAGTTGTGAAACGTTAATTCTTTAACTCAGAAGACGAATGATCCTTGGTTCGCAACATATTGTGGAATGAAAGTAAATCTTCCATGCATTGTTTACCCGCCTATGACCTTTCGAAAGATTAGGTTATGCCGTACACACTTTCTGCCAGGTTTTTAAATTGTACATATTGTGGCCTGTTTTGAGAAGTTCGAGTACCTCGGGATCGTGTCTACCGGTGCTGGAAAATGGGACGAATTGAAATCGCCAGCAGCGTTCTAAGTGAACTAGCTTTAACCTCTGTGATTCTAGCAGAGCTGAGTTTTAGGACTAAGATCCCGGTGTTCAGTGCGATCTTCATCCTCATGCATACTTACGGTCATGACTAGTGGGCCATGACTGAAAACTTCGATTTCGAATACAAGTGGCTGAAATGGGTATTCTGATAGAGATCGTTTGGTGCATACGTCTCCACATAGTCCGGAGTATAACGACTTCGTATGCCTATAGAAAGGAAAGTACTACTACTTGCCAAACCGACCGGCTGAAGTCCCAAGGAACGACCAGAAATATCCTGGGGCAAGTGTATGGAAGGTCTTTGGTCCATTCTGGACTTATGTTATCTTCTAGCGAAGCTCAAAGCATTAGCGCAGGATCAGAAACGTTGGTGATAATGTCTGTTGCGTCGGCTGCCGCGATCCGGAAAGATAAGCAGTGATCGAGACTGATTGACAGCCTTTTTTGTTACAATGCAAAACATCACTCGCCTACTTGTATCAGATGTTCATCATGATAAGTGTGAAGTTATTTTACTGTAACGTAAATTACGAAAAATTATTTTGGATTCATATGACAAAAGATAATGTAACGACGGTGGTCTGCTGGGTGGTGATAAGAATGATAGCTCTCCGATTCCACCGTCAGGAATATTTTCTTCGAACTGGTGGTACCAGATTTCCATTAAAAAAGTGTAAAGTTGCTTTTTAGGTTTCTAGTCGTCTGGAGGAACAAATTTAATAGGCCACGGCTGCATGGCGTTTAAGCTTCGCAGTTCATGCACCTCGTCACTTAGTTTGGCCGAACAAGGCATGTTCCAGTATCAGATGTTTGCCACTGTCCATTGCAAATGTACGGAAAATAAAACAAAATACAACTAGTGGTCTGAAGTCGGTACCAAAGATGGCAGCTTTTGTACAGTGCTGCGGTACAAATCCATGTAATGGCTCCAGTCCGTCATAAATTACCGCAATATCGTTATAAGGTTACAGGTTTTGCCTGTAAATCAGGTACCATTAGTTAACACAAATATTTTTGGCTTCGGAATCGGAAACGTACCGTTCTTGATCACTACTCGAGAGCATTAAACCATCGCGGTCATATTTACCCTTATTTTATGAATACGAAAAAGTTTTGTAATTAAGACTACACAAACAAATGGCTACGGTAATACATAAAGTGATTGACCCCACTGCTATATAATTTTTTCACAGCTTACGATAAGATGACCGACTCCGCGTGTGCAATGGTTACGTTTCATGGAATGCGATGCCATTTGACGTTCATTATTTTCGCCCCATCTCAAACACTCGTAGATAGAATATTTTGCTAGCACGTTGGCAGTCATAATTAACGAGCAGTGGTCCAATTTTCAATGCAACGAGCAGTACAAAAGCAGCAGTCCAAAAAAAAGAACAATTTTCCAATGGTCGCCCACGTATGATCGGCGTCGTTACGAGAAAAGTGAACACTCTTATGACCTTGTAAAATACTGAATGAAAATGTAGATTTCAGTTTAATTTAGCTACTGCTATAATAGACTCTGCTCTGCTGCAGGGTTAATGAATCCCTTGTGTATAAAAAGGAATAAGATTGCTGTTAGCATTTATTTTTCAAATGAATGTGCTGAATTAGTTTCATGATGCCATTTTATTCTGATCTGATCGAATCTGCTGTTTCCGAAGTGAATACTGAACCATTTACAAACATCTGAATTGCAAAAGTAATATGCTCTATTAAAAGACTGTTGTCGATCGCTGTTCTGTCAAAAAATTTCTTTTCAGCCGTCTGAGTAAGTGGCACCTCGAAAGGAATGAACAGTTCTGGTTATGATTAGATACAAATCGGCAAAACATGATGTGCGAAGGTATTTGCAAAGCTATAGCGTTTGAACCCGTGACGTCATCAGCGGCCAGTGGGGTTAATTATGAAGACTCGCTTGGCTTGTGTGTTGGATAAGATTGTATTTTACAATCATCTGATATCGTGTACTTGTTTCTGGTATCCAAAGGCGGTGACTAATCGTTTTAAAACATGAATGAAAACGGCTTCATCGTCGATGGAAATCGCGCTGATTTCACCGTTGGACAAACTAAAATTTAAGTCCTTTAACTGGTGATTGATTTCTGGACAGTACTAATATTCAGTGTTCATCATCGGGCTTCCAGTAAGCGAAGACGAAAGAACGGCGGTCTATGCTACCCTCAGCGTTGCATGATTGAAACATCTGGCTTCTTGTGTTCACTATGCCCAAACAGCAAAGTTAGGTGCAACCAAAGAATCTGAGAATTTCTTATTGATGATGCTCTTAAACTTCAAGAATTAAATCGAACGTCAAATGTGGAAGCTGTCATTGTGTCTTAGGCAACTATATTTGCATTTCTCATGTCTGAACGTATTCTCATATGAGATGCATTATACTTTGGGGAGCTGCATATTCACACAACAACGTTAGTCACTATTCGTGATAGTAAGATGCTCCTTTCGTTTCGTCTTCTGATTGCCACCCACCCGTTCGATTGTTACGTTTGTCTTATCCATGCACCGTCGACTTCTGCTTATGACTCGGTAACCTCGTCAAATGCATGTCGGTCAGCATAAACATTTGAATTCGAAGACAAATTTCAATTACTTAAGATTATCTGTGATTTTATCACACAGTAGAACAGCTGAAGCAAAAAAAACATACTGTTTCTGTACAAAACAACAATAGCAACGATTAACTGCCGTTAAACTTCGTCTTGGTCGTCCAGGGTTAGAGCTTGTTTTTCCTCTGAATATCTTGCTTTTCGGTTCGGCATTAATTTCGTGTAGCGTAGATCCTTTCGAGCTTCAGATCCGATGAGTCCCTGTCGCCACATACAGATCAGCGCAACGCCAACTAAAACAAAATTATAAAAATGCCGTATTTAAATTTTGTCCCTACGAGAGAATATCACAAAGACTGAGAGGATGACAGCCATAGCCAGTGGCAAAGGAATGCGAAGATCGTTTTCAATCGTATCTTTGAAATCATGCCATTTATCCTTGATTCCGTCAATCAGCTTATTCAGTCTGGTGTTCTAAAATCATAAGAATAGCCGCAAAGTAAGGTTACTCTGACTCATGTTAACAAATAGAAATAACGATCTAAAATGCAGTCTAAATGATTAGGCATCTAAGAGGGGCCCCGTAGCACAATGGCAACAAGGTCGGGTCCGACGTGCGGTTTTAAATCTGGAGAAAGGAAGCCCTTTGAACCGCATATTCCTTTTAGCAAGGAGCTTACCTTCCACTTCTTCGTCTCAGTCAACTGAGAAACCAGTTGCAAGTCGTTGAGATGCGAACAACAGGACCAGGGTGTTGTTCTGGAGTTGCCATATTAGAATAGGGGAGAGAGGAAAGATATGACTTTGTTGTATGATGCGAGCGCCTCTTGTGGCTTGATTTTGCCTTAATCTACGGGGTATGCCTGATTATTCAATACCATAATCAGCACAAAGTGTAGATGCCACCCTCAAAATACGTGTAAAATATAGACGTGTGCAACTATAGGGATCCTTGATAGTACGCACCGAGGTGAAGATCTTATAAAGCTAAGTGGTTACCACAAATACTGGGACACGTTTTGATCTGCTATCGGGTAACTATGGTGAATATGGTAGGAATCTGCACTGAGTGGGTGCTGGTACGGAGGAAATTAAATAATATCTGCTGCGTTGATGCTATTATTACCTCTTCCATCTACTACATTGTCAATGAAATTGTTTCGAGTCAGGCCCCCTACGCCAGGAATCGCCGGTCTGTTTCAATGCTGCTTTTAAATCGCATGAAAAAGGGCTGGGAAGGCAGACTGATGCGTATGCGAACAGTGGCACATTTCTGACAAAGTAGAAGATCCGGAAGACACTGAACGGTTGGCTGGACCTTGACAAAGATAACGACGTCACAGAAATTAGACCACATGGTAAGCACAGCTGTGTCATACCATAGACTCTCAGAACAGATCATGCTAAACATACCATGGAGAAAGAAGGTTGAGATATCGTCCCGAGATACCGGTTGTATAATATAGGCAATATATTACCTACAGATAATTTTAACTACAGTTCCAATAGCTACAGTATGCTAATAAATCGCTGAGTGGTTAAAGAGCCATGTCCCTTAAAAGAACACGTCGTACCTTAGTGGCATCTGGCTGCTTTTCTTTGCTGGAGTTCAGGCAGACGTCCTCATCGCTGATGTTGCAAGTTGCTTTCGCTTTCATCGGATCCTTGAGGAACCATTCCCAGACACCAGTGCTGAAGTCGTCAGCTAAGTAAGAAATGAACACAAGGACAAAGTCTCACCTCCGCAAGTTCAGTCTTTGCTGATCGCAACGTTTCTGTAAACAGGCGATCGATTCACCGAATTTCTTACACTGCGACGTACACGTTCCTTGCGTAACGTCCCAACACAGAACCTGTGTATGTGACTCTATCGTAAATATTTACCACAATACGCACAGTTAATACACGTACGCTATTCCTAACGTAGAAATGACTGCTGAGATACAAGGCTGCCGTTTCGTGCAGAACTTCAATCGTCTGTTTCAAACAGTCGCTGTAGTCAGTAGATCGTGCTTCCTTGCTGTTCGTGATTTCAAAAATCAAGTCCATAATGTTGATGTGGACTCCGATTATTCCACTGACTACAGAGCTTACCTAAAATAGTAAAACTGGTAGAAAACTTCATTTATGTTTATTCACATTGAGACTGAATAAGTAACTGAATGATAAGTGACTGAATAATAAGACAGACAAAATGATAAGTGACTGAATAATAAGTGACTGAATACAAAGCAGACAAAATGTACTCAATCAGCTGCACTGATTGCTACCATAATTACTTTGGTCCAATACTGACACCACCTCAGGGAGGAACAATGGAAAACGTTAATCAGAAGAACAGTGAGAACCCTGAATAATTAAACGGGGTTAACCTCGATATTGCGTGTTGAGAGAAACTTTACCAATTGTGATGATGTGATGGCGGAACTACTAAGAGGTAGGCTTGGAACCATACAGGTACCGGGTTCGATTCTGGCAGAAGACAATGGTCGTCTTAACCGTTAATATACTTCAGAGAGAAATTCACCACAGATTGCTTCATACAGTGGTTGTTCAGCCGGTAGAACGTGTGACTCAGAAAGTAGAAGCACGAGTTATAGTCCCGGCCAGATTCACTCATCTTTCTTCCTTCAAAAGTTGATAAATGAATGCCATTTTGCGAAAAGGAAGCAGGAAACTACAACTTATGCCTGTCACAGATGCGCTGTCGATTCTGCCCTTAATATAATGCACTTCTAGCCGATGACATAGAAGTGAAAATGATCATTCCGCCAGTGACTTGATGAAAAAAAGAACTCCAGAATGATCCCATCATGAAAGTGTAAAGAAGGGCCATATTCCAACGGTTAAAAACTTTTTTATTGATCCAGCCTTCAGCCTGCCAAAAAGAGGAACTGCTAGCTGGAGCTCACGATGATTCGGATACGCTAAACGGAAAAGTTGCAGAGACTTCGACGACGACACTCGGCAGCAAAAGCGTCAGTTTGAGGATAACACTGCGATGACGGGAGTCATCCATCAAAGCAATGAAAGAGTTTCAAAATCCGGCTTAGAGGGAATCAGAAAATCCGAACTTTCATTACACTACCCTGGCTAAAACGAGTACCAGGTGGAGTCGAAACTTAGTTACGAGA